ATGTATGTATGTATGTATGTATGTATGCATGTATGTATGTATGTATGTATGTATGTATGTATGTATGTATGTATGTATGTGTATGTATGTATGTATGTATGTATGTATGTATGTATGTATGTATGTATGTATGTATGTATGTATGTATGTATGTATGTATGTATGTATGTATGTATGTATGTATGTATGTATGTATGTATGTATGTATGTATGTATGTATGTATGTGTGTATGTATGTATGTGTGTATGTGTGTATGTGACGCCCAGATGTCGACGTTGACCATCTCCGGCGACGCGTCGTTTGTTGACGTCGATCAAAAGGTGCTCCACCCCGCCCACGCATCCACCTCACGTGTCTCATCGCACATTTCGTGTGACCCTGCGCTCACACACACACACACACACACACACACACACACACACACACACACACACACACACACACACACACACACACACGCACATCATGCACACACACATACACACCACGCTCTTGCCCCAATGCATCCTTTCAATCCTTTCAAAACTCGCTCAACCACACACACACACACACACACACACACACAACAGTATGCGTATTCGTTTGAGCGGGAGCTCAGGATCAAGGCCGGATGATGAAACGACGACGACAACGACGGCTATGATGATTGCGATTGTTGTGTTGCGATACTTCAACCACACGATCCACTGCATCCCCGACCTTCCCTCCTCTTCCCTCCTCTCCCCTCCTCCCCCTTCTCTACTCCATTACTGTCGCTTGTTGATAGATATGCCACTCGCCACTGCTTCTTGTCCACACCACCTTGCTTCCTCGCGAGTCCGTGTGTCTCTGCGCGTGTCTCCTGCCCACGTGCGTCTCTTTTGTCTCTTATCGAGCGCTTGCCTTCTCTGCTTCTGTCTTGCCCGCTTTCTGTTTCACCCCCCTCTCCTTGGCTGTTACAGTTACATCTTTCGTTCTGACACTCACAACACCCTTCTTCCCAAATGCTGTGAAGTCGTTGTTCAGTCGTTCATTCAGTCGTTTGCGTCTTGGTTGTGGACGTGTACATCACGCCACAACACACACACACACACACACACACACACACACACGCACGCCACTACGATCGCATAAGACTTGGTTTGTACGACAAAAGATTAAACGAGATCAACTGCTACGTCGCTCTCATCCTCGAACACACACACACACACACACACACACACACACACACACACACACACACACGCACAGACACAGAACGCATTGGTGTGTCCGTCCACTCTAATAGCGGCGAGGAGGGCTGTGAGGGCCAAAAAACCATACACACATACACACATCCAACAATCGTTCAAACGGGCACAGCAGGTGCAAACGCATGTGAGCTGACGCCAGCGTTCAACGGAACCTCAAGTGAACAGCGACAGTTAAGGCGGCAGTTGTGGTGGCGATGACAAACAGCGCTCGCTCGAGACAGCAGCCAGCCACTCAGGCATCCATGCAGCCGCAACCATGGCCACCAGCCTTTCAAATGTCTTTCTCCTTTATTCGTTCTCATCGCCACGCCACCTCTCTTTTCGTTGCCGCCTTCATTGCCCACACCGTCCCAACCCGTGCCAGAGCCACGCATGACATGACACCACAACCACGACGACAACCACGGCGACAACCACGACTACGACCATGCATCATGTTCCGTCCCACCTCCCTCTCCGCTTGTCCTTCAAACGTCACATCGCTCCAACTTCCAACACCGCCCGTTCACTCCTTTGCCCTCAGGTCGCTGTCGCGTGGAGCGCAACTCACCGCGGCTCGTACCGGTCGTCGTACCCCGAGTACCCGCCCGGGTACCTGGAACTGCTTGCGTAGTACCCGGTACTGCGGCTGTCGTACCCGCGCGGGTCTGTGCCCGACGGCGGGGGCGGGGGCGCCGGCGCAGCACGCCTGTCATATGCCGGGTACCGCTCGCGCCTGTCGTAGCGGTCGTACCCTGCGTAGTAGGAGCTTGGCGGGGGTGGCGGCGGCGGCCCCGAGGGCGGGTAGCGGCGGTCGTCGTAGCGGTCGTACGGTCGCGGGTAGTAGCCGCCGTACTCGTAGCGGCGCGGAGGTGGTGGCGGCCCGCCATAGGGAGGACGCCCGTAGCGCGGGGGCGGGGGGCCGCCTGGTGGTGGTGATGGTGGTGGTGGTGGTGGTTTGAAGGTGTGAGGAAAGGGGGGGGGGTTTGTGGGTAACATGAGGAGAAGAATACAGGGAGGAGTGGCAAGGCAGAGGTAATGGACAGGGCCGACGCCCAATATGAAGCGCACAAGTACATCTTATCACACAGACACGCAATCACATCATGTATGCAGGCGTACGTCTGCCGATGGAGCCGGCGGGGCGAGGGCGGGCAAAGTTGACGGCGACTTCGCGCCCGAGGAACGTCGTGCTGGTGGGAGGGGGAAGAACACAATCAGTTCAGGGAGCAACGGGCGCATCAGTCCAATGCAATGGCGTTCACGCAGGGAGAAACAAGATAGACAGCCACACTGGGCATCCACGCGCAGACACACAGACACAGGCACAGGCACAGGCACATACACGCAGACAAGACAAGACACACACACACACAGACACACACACACACACAAAACACACACACACACACGCAGACACAGACAGGCATTCACACCAATGCAAGCAGCGTACCCATTCATGCCCTTCTCGGCATCCTCGGCCTCGGTGCGGTCTGCAAACGTGACAAAGCCAAACCCACGGCAGGTGCCTGTGACGCGGTGCATGGGAAGGAACACGTCCTTCACCTTCCCAAACTTGCCAAACGCCTCCTCCATATCTGACACTTTGGTCTGCGCGAACAGCGTCATCACATGAGAGGTAACAGCCAAGTGTGAGCGCATTTGGTTTGAGGGAGACGCACAGAGCGCATGCATGCAAACAGACACATGCCAGTATGCACACGGACACGGGCACGGGCACGGACACACACACACACACACACACACACACACACACACACACAGGGATACATACAGACACAGACACAGACACAGACAGACACATAATAGCGAAACAACTTTGTGATTCTGGTCAGGTGTTTGGAGAACACGTACATCGTAGTTGAGGTTGCCGACAAACAGCTTGTATCCCGTGCGTTCGAGCTCCTCCAACTCCTCACGCGACAGCTTGGCAGACCTCAAGTTGAGGTCGCGGTCACGGTCACGGTCACGGTCACGGTCACGGTCACGGTCGCGAGAGCGAGAACGCTCGCGAGAACCGCGGTCGCGCCCACGATCATCACGCGCCGGGGACTCCCTTCGCTCAACTTCGCCTGCCTCCCGTGTATCCATGCTGAGGTGGTCGCGCACACATGCAGACATGCAGAGGACATCATTGTTTTTTCACGATAGGGTCATCAACCACGGTCACATCATTCGTTCAATCAACCACCCCGACCAAAGCGTCGTCATCATTCCCATGAAAACATCTCCATCTCCACGATAATCACACAACGCCCTCATCGTCGTTTTTTGTGTCGACAACGTCACGTGCATCCACCTCCATCATGACCATTATCAACCTCTTGATCATCACCATCATCATCGCAGTTGGCTCATCGCCGGTCTCCCATCACTACTAGCAAGGTACTAAACTGTCGTGTGTCATGGTGGCCCTTGGCGTGCCCCAACACTCCTCGTACCTCTCCGCGTCTCTGTGATATTCGTCGGCCATCTTGCTCCTTGGCTTCCTTCCTCTGTCTTCTGCTTCTCTGGTGCAGCGTGAATGACGAAAAATGGCAACATTGACGCCAATTTTCGCGGCAACCACCCAAGACCAAGCAAGAAGCAAGCAAGTAAGCCAGCAAAACAAGCAGCAAGCAAGCAAGCAGCCAGAGAACGCAGTGCAACCACCACACAGCAGCGCAGTGAGAAGCACGGACGGTTAGCAAGCAGCACGTTCACTGCAATTTGCGTGTGCACTTCTTGCGCGGCGGTGAGGAAGAAGACGATGATGGCGCTGAGGATGGCTGGCCAACACGTTGTTGGCAGGCGTGGGTGTGCATGTGCGTTTGCGCATGGGTGCTCTATTGCCAGTGGCACACATGCACGGAGCTTCAGCAGAAGCACGAGTGGTTCGTCGGCGTCCTTGGTATCGTGGGGTGCGAGCGATGGGCTGGGGCTTGGCGTTGGCCGATCCGCCGCGGATTATCCGCTCTACCTGCCTTACTTTGTGGATGTTGGCGCCAACAAGCTTCCAACCAAAGTGGCAGTGGGAACGAACCATGCTGCAGCCATTATCCAAGGTTGGTAGGTCCTCGGGCAGGGATCTGGACGTGGTCACATCAGTTGGGGTTCGAATGCTCCTGTGAGGTTGTCTGTGTTGCACTTGCTCGTGTGAACGAGCGTGCGTTGTCTCACATGCCAAAACCATGTCCCTCCGTTGTGTGTAAATGTGTGCGTGTATGTTTGAATACTTATGTGTCAATATGTGTGTGAAAACTTTTATATGTGTGTGTGTGTTGCAGATGCAATAGACGCAACATCTTCGCCACAGCTCTTCATGACAGGCTTGAACACACAACGGCAACTTGGATCCACCACAAATGATCAGATGCTCACCACCTTCAAAGTGTGTGTGTGCGTGTGTGTGCGTGCGTGTGTGTGTGTGTGCGTGTGTGTGCGTGCGTGTGTGTGCGTGCGTGTGTGTGTGTTTTTGCTGCATTTGTGTGTCATGGATGAGGGTGTGGGCTCTGCAACCGGCCTCCCCTGTCGCATCCAGCTCACATGTGTATTGTCGTGACGCGTTTTGGCGACACGGGGCTTCTTGTCCTTGTTCGGCGTCTGCTGTTTGTTTGGTGCCCATGCGCAGGCGAGCGCACTTCCCGATGATGCAGTTCCACGCGACGTGGACTGTGGCCGCTGCCACTCTGTCGTCGTCTCGGATGCCGGGGTGTTTGCCACGGGCCTCAACTCGCTCGGCCAGTGCGGCGCGGGCGCTTCCCTGCGCACCCTGCCGACGTGGCAGCGCGTGTATGACGGCGATGTTGACGATGTGGTCTCTGTGACGTGTGGCCTCGACCACACGCTGCTGCTGCTGAAGGATGGCACCGTCCTTGTCTCTGGCTGGACAGCCGACGGTCAAACAGGTGCGCACGTGCGAGTGGTGCGCGTCTGTGTGTGTATGCATGTGTATGGATGTGCAGCCGTAGAGGTGGTTCGTGTTGCTGACGCCACACCGCCGCACTGTGCGTGTTAACTACGTAAACTGCATTTGACCAGCAGAGAATCGAACAATGCACTCACGTGCACACATACACGCACACGCACATGTTAACATATACACTCATGTACACACATGTACACACATGCACACATTTTTCCACAGGGTTGCCTGGGATGACTGCAAATGCACACACGTTTACGCGCATTCCCGGGTTGGAAGGCGTCATCTCTGTATCCGCAGGCGCCGACACGACGCTCTTCCTCACACAGGTGTGGTGGAGGGGAGGAAAGGAATGCAAAGGAAGGGCCCAGAGAGACACAGGGGAAGGGAAGGGAAGGGAAGGGAAGGGAAGGGAAGAACGGAAAGACAACGGGGGAACTGCGATGCAGCAGTTGGAAACGAAATGAGACGCATTCCAATGCCACCAAACACACACACACACACACACACCCACACACACACACACACACACACACACACACACACACACACACACACACGCACACACACACACACACGACACACACACACACACACATAC